CAAAAGGGGAAGCGGAGGAGCTCTTGCAGAAGAGGCAAGGAGCTCCTTCACTTGCTACAAAGACACAGAGGAGCTTTCAGACGACGTATATTCAGAGATAGCGAAACTCGATCACGTAGAGATAGAGACTCTCTTAATAGAGACTAATGAGTTATGTCATGTCTCATTTATCGGACAGAGAATGGCCCAGGGCGACCTTCAAAACTCTTCATTGATAGAGAAGCTATTTCGGAAAACAAACATGGTGGAGAACTCTCTCATTCCTGCAATGTGATACAGGAGGTCTCTCATGACCTCTTGTGAGATAGAGACCGGTTGCATCAGGGAAGTTTTCCCTGGAAACCCTTTGCTATTCCCTTACTTTGGTGCTGAAACCATCACGTTCTTGTTCCTTAATGCCCCAGTAAACCCTTGGAGAAAGAGGTGTTTTCAAGATGTGGTGGGGTATCTCATGTAGGAATGTACAATGGTTAGACACTAGCGCTCTTGCTTTCAAGAAGCAGTCTTGCAAGTAATGGCTCTGGGTTATGTCACGGGTTTGTTACGGTAATAGGCAGACTACACAAATACACCCTCCATTAAATTCCCGTAGCCCTATAAACCCTACACCCTGCACGCGAATCCTGAGCCCCCTAAGACTCCTATGCCCCCTACGATGAGATATAGTTCATGGGAGAGCTCTTATACCGTTTATGAATGCATTCTTCTATCTTTGAGATGAAAGAGCTCCTCTATCTTCTCATAGGAAATGAAAGAGATCCTGCATATGAAAAGAAAAGACCCTTCGAGAAAAGTTAAAGAATGGTAACGAATCCATGTCATCAATCTTTTCATGCGTAATGAGAGCGCTCCACACTCTTAATGGGACATGAAAGAGCTCCTCCATTTCTTTGAAATCAAAACCTTGCTTTCTCCCTGAGTGACAAAGATCTCTTGGAAATGAGAGATCTCTGCTACCACTTTCGAAAAAATGAGCTCCTATATCTCGGAGTCGGAAAGATAAAGATGTGAAAAGGAGCCCTCCCAAACCTACGAGGCGCCAGAGCACCCGCCCGCAGCTTTTCAAGCAGGAGAAAGGCTCTTTCGTAAGGGGCGGAGGAGCTCTGTCATTCCCTCAACCAGAGGGAGGGGAGCCCTCTCATGACCTATTCAAGAGAGAGGAGATAGAAGAGCTTGCTCATTGCTCTTTAGGATGCGGAGGAGCTTTTGCACAAGAGGCAAGGAGCTCTTTTACTTCTACAAACGCATAGAAGAGCGTTTAGATGACCTGTTACGAAATAGAATAAATGCTGTCTCACGTAAGCGAGAGAGACTGATGAGTTATGCGACGCTCCATTTCAGGGACAGGCCTTCGAAACCTTCAATTAGGGTTGATCTCTCGCAAAAAGGTAAAAGAGCTATGTCATTTCCTACGAAGCGATAAGCAGCCTAGAGACAATCGGCTTCTCTCATGTTTGCTTCATGGATAGAGAAGCTTTCTCAACCAAAACCAAAGAGACGGATCATGTCCCATTGAAAGATAGACGAGTTCTGTCTTTGTACGTTACGAGGTGGGGGAGCTCTTTCACAAGAGGTAGGTAGAGGACTCTCTCATGTCCGGCAAAGAGATAGAGACGATCTTTCATGACCCGCTACGAGATAGAGAGCCTCTTTCATGTAAAGGGTAAGATATAGAAGAGCTGTGAGCTCCTTTACCTATCGACGGGAACTCTTATAGCTTTCATGAATGAGTTCTTGCCAGTGAACAAAGGGAGCTCTTTCACAAAGGGTAGATAGAGACCTCTCTCATTTCCTGTAAAAGAAAGAGGAGGTCTCTCACGACCTGATTATTGCGAGATAGAGAAGCTATGTCATATAAAGATAAGAAATGGTAGAGCTGAGGACTCCTCTGCCTAGTGACGGGAAATCAGTTAGATAGGACATGAGAGAACTTTCATACATTTCTTATGAATGAGTTCTTCAATCTCTGAATAGAAAATGAATGAGCTCCTGTGTCTTCGCATACGAAATGACAGTGTGGAAATGAGCTGTCTCATGACCTGTTAGGAAACAGAGGAGATAAAGAGCTTGCTCATTGCAAAAGAGGAAGCGGAGGGCTCTTGCAGAAGAGGCAAGGAGCTCCTTCACTTGCTGCAAAGATACAGAGGAGCTTTCAGATGACCTATTCAGAGATAGCGAAACTCGATCACGTAAACGATAGAGATTGAAAAGTTATGTCATGCCCCATTTCAGGGATAGAGAATGGCCTTCCAGACTTTCATTTCGAATAAAGGAGAGATCTGTCACAGAAAGGTAGAAGAGCTATTCATTTCTTATTATATCACGGGTAGACAAGCTTTTTCTCAAATACAAACAAAAAACCTGGCTCATGCACCATTGAAAGATAGACGAGTTCTGTCACTCTCGATCACAAGGTGGAGGAGCTCTTTCACACGGGGTAGGTAGAGCACTCTCTCTTTTCTTGCAAAGAGATAGAGAAGATCTGTCATGACTCCATGAACCGTTACGAGATAGAGAAGCCTCTTTCATGTAAAGGATAGGTCATGGTAGAGCTGAGAGCTCCTCTGCCTAGTGATGGCAAACGAGAAATAGGAACCAAAGGAGATAGAAGAGGTTGCTCATTGCAAAATAGGAAGCGGAGGAGCTATTGCAGAAGAGGCAAGCAGCTCCTTCACTTGCTGCGCAGACACAAAGGAGCTTTCAGATGACCTGTTCAGAGATAGCGAAACTCTCTCACGTAAACGATAGAGACTGATGAGTTGTGTCCCCATTCAAGGGATAGAGAATGGCCTTCCAAACTTTCATTTCGGGTAAAGAAGAGATCTGTCGCAAAAAGGTAGAAGAGCTATGTCATTTCTTATGCATCGATAAACGGCTACTCGCATGATTTCTTCATCGATAGAGAAGCAGCTATTTCTGAATAGAAATTCACAATGGAGCTGTCTCATGTCCCAGTGAAAGATAGACGAGTTGTGGCATTTGATTTTGAGGTGAAGGAGCTCTTTCACAAGAGGTAGGTAGAGGACTCTCTAATGTTCTGCAAAGAGATAGAGGCAATCTTTCTTGACCCGCTACGAGATAGAGGAGCCTCTTCCATGTAAAGGGTAGGATGTGGTAGAGCTGTGAGCTCCTCTACCTATCGACGGGAAATTAACAAGAAAGTACATTCGAGAGCTCTTACAGCTTCTATGAATGAGTTCTTGTGATTGAACAAAGGGAGCTCTTTCACAAAAGGTAGATAGAGACCTCTCTCATTTCCTGCAAAAGAAAGAGGAGGTCTCTCATGACCTATTGCGAGATAGAGAAGCTATGTCATATAAAAGATACGAAATGGTAGAGCTGAGCGCTGGTGACGGCAAATGAACTAGGTAGGACATGAGAGAGCTCTTATACATTGTATGAGAGATTTCTTATATCTATATCTCTTGTGAACGAGTTCTTCAATCTCTGACTAGGAGATGAATGAGCTCCTGTATCTTCTCATACGAAATGACAGAATGGATATAAATGATGTCCTCTAGCTGTTAACGCAACATGAAAAAACCTCCTCTATCCCCTAAAAGAGAAGGAGAGAGGGAAGCCCGCTCATGACCTATTAGGAACCAGAGGAGATAAAAGAGCTTGCTCATTGCAAAATAGGAAGCGGAGGGCTCTTGCAGAAGAGGCAAGGAGCTCCTTCACTTGCTGCAAAGATACAGAGGAGCTTTCAGATGACCTATTCAGAGATAGCGAAACTCTATCACGTAAACGATAGCGAGTGATGCGTTATGTCATGTCCCATTTGATGGACAGAGAATGGCCCAGAGTGGCCTTCAAAACTCTTCATTGATAGAGAAGCTGCGAAGCTATTTCTGAAAATCGACATAGAAGAGAACTCTCTCATTTCCTGCAGCGTGAAAAAGGAGGTCTCTCATGACCTATTGCGAGATAGAGAAATTTCAGGTAAGAGTTAGGTAATGGTAGAGCTGGGCACGCCTCTGCCTCTTGACGAGAAATGAGCTCGTGTATACTTCATGAATGCGTTCTTCTATCTCTCAGATGAAAGAGCTCCTCGATCCTTCTTATAGGGCATGAAAGAAATCCTGTGTTCGAACTGAAAAGACCCTTTGATAAGCAAAAGAAAAAGGGAAACGAATCGATGCCTTCTATCTTTTAGTGCAGAGCTTCTCACTTCTAACGACATGATAGAGCTCCTCTATTTTCTTGGAAATGAAACAGCTTGCGTTCTCTCCTGAGTGAAAGATGTCTCTGTCGTGGAAATGAGATCTCCTCTATGTTTCTAAGAAATGAGATAGCTCACCTCTACCTCGTAATCGGAAATGAGAGAGCCCTTCGCCCCTCTTCAGGCTATGAAACAACTTGTCTATCTCTTACTTCAAAGTGTGCTAGAGCTACATGGCTGCACTTGCTGGCGCCGGTGCACACACAGACCAAACCTTCACTATTACTGTTACTACTACTAATACTATTACTAGTATTATTACTATTCCTATTCCTATTACTATTACTAGTACTATTATTATTCCTATTACAATTACGGTCAGTATTATTATACTCATAATAATATTAAAATTATTATTATTATTATTGCACTACTACTGAAAGAAGAACCAGCCGTGAAATAGACCCTAAAGGTCTCGGCCACATATGTATATATATATAACTATATACATATATATATATATCTCTCTCTCTCTTTCTCCATCTCTCTCTCTCTCTCTCTTTCTTTCTCTCTTTCTCTCTCTCTCTCTACATATTCTGGGGCTTATGGCGGGTACCTACTTTCCTCATTCCTTACCGCAAGAACCAGAAGTTAAACTGGAGATCGTTGGCTCCAGGCCAAAATTTGGGGTGGGCAGGTGGGAACTTCAGCGAACCTGCCAGCCCCTCATAAGCTTTGCCCTCAACCCCAACCCCAAAACCCAAAACCCAAAACCCAAAACCCTAAACCCTAAACCCTAAACCCTAAACCCTAAACCCTGCTGTCAGGGCTCTCGGCCATGATGACGGCCAGCCTGATCTTCACCACTGCCGACGTCCCGGAGCTCAACCGCATGTTTGCGTTTGGCATCAGCATGATGTGGCCCCTTGCCGATTAGGGTTTAGGGTTTAGGGTTTAGGGTTAGGGGTTTAGGGTCTTAGGGTTTGGGGTTTAGGGTAGGGTTCAGGGCTTCGGGCTTACTTGGTAGCCCCGTGGTGCCCTTTTCCCCTTTTTGTGGTGCAAGGTTCCCTTATGAGCGACCAACCCAAAAACAGGTGTGTTCTTTCTTAAGATGGTTGCTTGGCTACCAAGCTTCTAGAGGCTTGGAAGTTTTGGGTTTCGGGTTTAGGGGCTCAGTTCACCCTCAGCCCTAATCAGTACAGCAGAAAACCCCAACCCTAAACCCTAAGCCCTAAACCCTAAACCCCTGTAGCGCAGGCTTTCCTCTGCGATCTCAGCTGCTTGGTATGGTGTTTTCGGACGAATGCAGGCCGGGACGTTCCAGGAAGGCTCCTTCTGACGAAGCCCCTAGTTATTGCGAATCAGCCCAGCCCTCATAAACCCAAAGCCCGTTTTGGGTTTAGGGTTTAGGGTCTATAGGGTTTAGGGTTTAGGATTTAGGGAGCTCTCATGACCCTTGAAGATACTTGAAGGCATGCAGTCGAGAAGTTGCACCTTTGGTTGCAGATGCTCGGTTGAGTCAAGAGGTAGATCCCGCCAAACTCCCACACCTAAGACAAACTTAAAACCTCGGTTTCATCCACCAGGAGACCACGAGACGCCAGTGACTGGAATTCCTGATTTTCCTTGCTTTAAGGTGTTAGGTCCAACCCTAAACCCTAAACTTCTCAAGCATTTCAAACTACCCTATACTGAGAAGGCAGCCAATTTATTTCCCGCTACTGGAGATCCCAGTTCTGAATCGGATCTTAGGGGTTTAGGGTCTTGTAGACTTGGGGGGTGTGCAGGGACCCTACTAAATCCGTAGGACCCAGTGTAGGGCCTCTTAGAGTTAAACCCTAAACCCTAAACCCTAAACCCTAAACCCTAAACCCTAAACCCTAAACCCTAAACCCTAAACCCTAAACCCTGTTTGTTTGTGTTGAATCAACGATTTCCTACCTTGGACGAGCCGTAGTACTTGCAGGCGTAGATTTTGGCAACGTTTAGGGGAGCATCCCTAGGTGTGCAAAGTTCGACTCCCTTGGTTGAAGCCCTAAACCCTAAACCCTAAACCCTAAACCCTAAAGCCTAAACCCTAAACCCTAAACCCTAAACCCTAAACCCGAAGGCAGGCCTGATTGGCATCAACGATGTCATTGGCATCCTTTGGGGGACGATGGGTGGCCAGGCATAGGGATCGCACTGCTTGGGGCGGGGGAGGGTTTAGGGTTTAGGGTTTAGGGTTTAGGGTTTAGGGTTTAGGGTTTAGGGTTTAGGGTTTAGGGTTTAGGGCTAAACCCGAAACCCTAAATCCTAAACCCTGAACCCTCCGCCGCCCCTTAGAGTTAGGGTTGCCTCCCCGACCCGAATGATCTGTGTTTCTGGGATCTGGTGTTCTAAACCCTAAACCCTAAAACCCTAAACCCTGAGCTCTACGTGCCTGTGGCAGATGCTGTAGGGTCCGGTGCAAGGCTCAGCGCAGTCGGGGTCGCAGAGGCCTCATGCTCCCTACGTCGGTTTAGGGTTTAGGGTTTAGGGTTTAGGGCTTAGGGTTTAGGGTTTAGGGTTTAGGGTTTAGGGTTTAGGGTTTAGGGTTTAGGCACAAAGGTCCAAGCCCCCCCCCCCCCCTCCCTCCCCTACATCGCGTACCCTTTCTAAAAACATCTCCGGCGCCTTTCCTCAAGACCGCATGAAACCTCTGGCGGTGTCCAAATTCTAGGTGCATGTTTAACCGGACTTTCAGGGGCAAAACGCCTCATGCCTGAAACCAAAACCCTAAACCTTAAACCCTAAACCCTAACCCCGAAAGCCCTAAACCCTCAACCCTAGACCCTCAACCCTAAACCTTAAACGCTAAACCTAAGCCCGAAGCCCTAACCCCTGACCCCTAAGCCCTAACCCTAGTCTTTTCTTCACAGCCCAGGAATCCAGACCCAGGGACTGAAAATATTCCTTAATTCAGGAATATTCCTTAAACTATAAGAGGGTTCCTTATATCCCTAACCCTAAACCCTAAACCCTAAACCCTAAACCCTAAACCCTAAACCCTAAACCCTAAACCCTAAACCCTAAACCCTAAACCCTAAACTCTATGGTAGGACTTTCGTTAATTAAGGGGTATTGGAGTCTCTGGGAAGGTGTCTGTCGCCTTGGCCAGCGAGCCGGAAAGGCTCGTGGGTAAAGTTGGGTTTGGGATTTAGGATTTAGGGTTTAGGGTTTAGGGTTTAGGGTTTAGGGTTTAGGGGTTGGGGGTTGGGGCCCATTCAGGTGATTGTACTTGTAGCGTTTAGGGTTTCAGTTTAGGGTCTAAGGGGATTTTTTTTTTTTGTGGGGGGGGGGGGGGTTGATAGTGTAGGGGTGTAAGGTTTTAGGGCTTTTCGGGATTTTTAGGGTAATAGGGCGTCTTAAGGCTTTTTGGGGTTCTAGAGTGTTAGGGTCTTTTAATGGTTTTCAGGTTTTAGGCCTTTTCGGGCGTTTTAGGATTTTTCGGGTTTTTAGTTTTAGGGTTTGAGGGTATAGGGTTTGAAAATGCCATGCCCAAGCAATAACACTGAACCTACCAGGGAAGGGTTTAGGGTTTAGGGTTTAGGGTTTAGGGTTTAGGGTTTAGGGTTTAGGGTTTAGGGTTTAGGGTTTAGGGTTTAGGGTTTAGGGTTTAGGGTTTAGGGTTTAGGGTTGAGAGCGTTGGAATGTCGGGAGGATCGTGCCCACACAGCTCGCCATCATTGCCGTGAGCACCATGCTGACCGGCATCGCCTCCATTGTCTTTGGCCACTTGGGCCTGGGGAAGCTGATGTTGCTCTTCCCTACGCCTGTTACTTAGGGGCACTTGGAAAAATTTTATTTTGGGCGCTACATTTCCTAAGAAACAGCAACAAACTTAATTCGTGCTTGGGTTCCAAGTGCAGCATAGTGTTTCTTAGTAGCTGAGTGGGCACACTTTACACAGTTTGGGATACTAGAATCCCCTATAGAACCGAAACCCTAAACCCTAAACCCTAAACCCTAAACCCTAAACCCTAAACCCTAAACCCTAAACCCTAAACCCTAAACCCTAAGGATTTTCAGCAGCTCAGGTGACGAGTGGATTTCTGGGATCCATCGGCTTCTTCATCTTCAAGTCTTCCTTGCAGATCTCCTCCGGCGTCAAGTTCCGGTACCTCTGGCCCCAGGACTTCGGGGAGTTTCTGCAGCTGGGATGTTTAGGGTTTAGGGTTTAGGGTTTAGGGTTTAGGGTTTAGGGTTTAGGGTTTGGGTTTAGGGTTTAGGGTTTAGGGTTTAGGGTTTAGGGTTTAGGTTTAGGGTTTAGGGTTTAGGGAGTTTCTGCAACTGGGATTTCCCGTAGTGCCCTTCTTCCCCCCTCCTTTTTTGGGGGTCTTGTTCACTTTCATTTGTGTACATCTTCGGGCGGCCTTAACCACACAGAGGCTCCCCTTCTGTTCCGAAGCAACTTGCGTGTTAGGGTTTAGGGTTTAGGGTTTTTAGGGTTTTAGGGTTTTAGGGCTTTAGGGTTTTGGGGTTTTGGGGTTTTAGGGTTTTAGGGTTTTAGGGTTTTAGGGTTTTAGGGTTTTAGGGTTTTAGGGTTTTAGGGTTTTAGGGTTTTAGGGTTTTAGGGTTTGAGGGTTTTAGGCGGGAGAACCTAGGAAAGTGCAGCCGCTGGCGCGCGTGGTGTGCATGTTTGCGGCCCTGGTCTTCATCCGAAAGGTGCCGCCCCGATTGGTGAAGCTCTTCCCGAAGAGTGCCCAGACTCTTCGTTTACGGTTTAGGGTTTTTAGGGCTTAGGACTTAGGGTTTAGGGTTTAGGGTTTAGGGTTTGGGGTTGCTCTTCCGGTAGTCCCTTGCTTTTCAGCCTGCTTAAGTTCCCTTAAGCAGTAGCGAGCTGAATCAAAAAGTCTGGTTTCCATGTTTTTTTTGGGCCCAGAGTAAGTATTTCCCCTTTGTAGGTTCTCTTAAACCAAAAAGGGGAGCCTTTGTGTTCCTAGGCTACTCTTGGGTCTAGTGTTTGTTCTCCCTTTGGGGTGCTTGAGCCTAAACCCTAAACCCTCAACCCTAAACCCTCAACCCTAAACCCTAAACCCTAAACCCTAAACCCTAGGCGTCATGGTGAAGAAGCTCGGCGGGCTCTTCTGCCAGCTGGTGCCGCTCTTCCTCTTCTACCTTGTGGTGCAGTTCCCCCTTCGCACGTAGCAGGCATTTAGGGTTTAGGGTTTAGGGTTTAGGGTTTAGGGTTTAGGGTTTAGGGTTTAGGGTTTAGGGTTTAGGGTTTAGGGTTACCCCTAAAACTTGGGATGAGTTCCCCCTGATACCTTGGTAGCCCAGTGGTACCTTTTCCCTTGTTTGGTTCCAGGTTCCCTGATAAAGTGACCAACCCCAGTAAGGGTGCCCTTGTTAGAATATGGTTACTGGGGCTACCGAGATACTAACAGTCCTTCATAGGGATTATAACAGGGGCTACTATAATCCCTACTTCGGACTGTCAGTATAAGGGGGAGCATACTCTTTAATTGCAACGGTGAACAGAAAGGCGCATCAAAAAGCAGCTCCTTGAAGCCTAGGGAGAGGGCAAACACTAATGTTTAGGGTTTAGGGTTTAGGGTTTAGGGTGTAGGGTAATTGGCACCCTAAAGGTAGTGCTGACGTGCGAAGGCAACGAAATTCATCGAGATGTAAAGAAACGTTCCTGCCCAACCCCTCCCAACCTCCCCCCTCTCAATTCCTGTAGCCCAAAGAACCTACCTTTTTAAGGGACAGGAAAGGAGATCACAATAAGGAACCCCTAAAGAGGTAGGTTTTTCCCCCTAAAGAGGTAGGTTTTTCGGGGTACAGGTTAGCCACCCCTCCCCTTACAGCCCCTCCACTGACTCAGAACACCGGGTTGTCGTGGTTAGTTCACCTTTTTCCCAATTTTCTCGGGAATCCGTCTTGTGTAAACCTCAAGGGAAAAGCATAAGCCACAAGGAAATATTCAAGCACCGTCTGCTATTATGGTACCCTAAACTCCAAGGCGACTGGAAAGTTTCTTACTTGCAACCTAGGTTACGTGATGAATGTTTCTGGGTGGCTCAGCCCTAAACCCTAAACGTCTAAACCCTGAACTTTGAATCCCAAGATCCACAGCGTTTCTGTTGCCTGCGCCCGGAGTCGGGCTTTCCGCGGGGATGGGCCCTTCTAGCCCCACTCTCTCTCACTCAGTTCCTGGTCCTGATGATGGGTGGTTCTCAAAAACAATTCGGGCTTTTTTTTGGAGTGCTGTATAGTACGGCTCCCTTAAACAAGGGACCTCAGAAAGGGACCCTAACTTGGCTTTCTTCTGCCTGGCTCTTAGGACTTCAACTTTTTGGGTTGTTGTAGCAAATACAAAAAAGAAGCCCAAAAGTTAAACTTTTAGAAAAGTTAGAGAACCACCCACATCGATCCTCCCCAGAGCATCGACGCCTAGGATTGCTGGCGTGGATATGATGGAGCTGTCCGAAGATGGTTGGACCTATCCTCGCCAGGCGGGAAGCCGTCATGACGGGGCAGGGGTCGACGCTGCCACCCTAAACCCTAAACCCTAAACCCTAAACCCTAAACCCCAAACCCCAAACCCCAAACCCCAAACCCCAAACCCCAAACCCCAAACCCCAAACCCCAAACCCCAAACCCCAAACCCTAAACCCTAAACCCTTTCCCGAAACCCTGCCACAAACCATCCCGGAACCTTGCCCCCTTATCCTGAAACAGGGTTTATATCACTGTTTTTTGGTGAGTGTATATAAGGTTCCTTTTTGATGTTGGTGAGTGTTTATACCTGGTGCCCTTTTGGGGGTACAAGAAATATATACCCTACTTCATATAAACCTCAACTCCAGATCGAACGAAACCTGCTACTTGGAGGTTCAGGGCACTTCGAACCCCAAGTATAACTGTACTTACAAGCCCCCCCAAGTCCCCTAAGTAGGTTATAAGTAGGTTTAGAATCCCTAAACCCTAAACTCTAAACCCTAAACCCTAAACCCTAAACCCTTGTAGTTATAAAAGTACCCATGAACCTCCAAGCAGGGCTCCACGGGCCCGCTGGAGTTCTGGCACTCGGGCAGCCTTTCGGGGGCCGACTGGAAGTTTGTGGCTCGGCTTGTTGAGGGATTTAGGGTTTGGGGCTTGGGGTTTTGGGTTAGGGTTTAGGGTTTAGGGTTTAGGGTTTAGGGTTTAGGGTTTAGGGTTTAGGGTTTAGGGTGTAGGGTGTAGGGTGTAGGGTGTAGGGTTTTGGGTTTTGGGTTTTGGGTTTAGGGTTTAGGGAAAACAGAGTCAGCTTCTCTAAAGCATGGTACCCTGCGACCTCTTGGGGAAGTTGGTCTTTAGGTCTCTGGCGGCGATTTGTGCATCCTAAGGGGCTGGGTAGTCATTTTTTACTTTTCAACTTTTTGGTTTTATATAGCCCTGTTACAAGTAGAAGGTTAACCTTTATATAACCTTTTGGTTATATATATATATACATATGCATATACAATTATGTGTATATATTGCTATTACACATAGAAGGTTAACCCTTTTTGGGGCTAGGGTATTCAGCCCCTTGGCATCTGTTGTGGAGAGAGCGCGTGATCTCTATCACTTAAGAGCGCACTGTTCATACTTAGCTCATTGGCAATCCAGATCAAAACTATGCGTCGGGCTGTTTAAGATTTGTTGAGTTGCTCAGGGCTACGTAGGGCTGTGTCTGCGAAAGCCTGTTCCAATTCTGGGGAATGAGGAGGTGTTGCATCAAAGCACACTCCGAGCACACTGAGTTTCGGAGCGTATTCGGCTTGCGAAGGTTTTTGTATGTTGTGCAGCCGGCAATCGCTGAAGTGTTGACACATGCCGCGCGCAAAACTGACGTGCGTGTAGGGAGGGCTTGTTACAAATTGACGTGTCGTTGTAGAAGGCACCCCTGACCCTGGCCATGGTTCTATCAGGTGGTTCATCCAAGATTGGACAAGAGAACCCATCAAGAACCAAGAAGCTGCAAAACCTGCCGCAAGCTTGCACAAGCTACATGAGTTGGGACCCCCTCATATGATAATAGGGGTACTCTGTTCCCTATTCAGGACTGTTAGTACAAGGGGGAACATCCCAATACATGAGTGCAAAGAGCACGAAAACAAGTGAGGCGTTCAAGAGCGTCTTACGACGCCCGTACCTGAATGTAAGGTCTGGGCGAACCTTCCGTCGATGGGCTTCTTGGTAGGCCAGTGGTACCCTTTACCCCGGTTTAGGGTTTAGGGTTTAGGGTTTAGGGTTTAGGGTTTAGGGTTTAGGGTTTAGGGTTTAGGGTTTAGGGTTTAGGGTTTAGGGTTTAGGGTTCCCGTACAAAGCAAACAACCCCCCCAACTGG